TCGAGAAAATTTCGTAACAAAACATCAATAAATCTGAATTTCTAACAGTTTCGGATTTAGTAAACAGATTATAGAAAACTTTTTCACTTTGAGAAATACCAGCCAAAATGACTACTGTTGGTATACGTAACCATTGTACAAAATCATTTTAACTGTGAATAAATAAGACAGAAATAAAAATTATTACATTATAACTTTAGTTGTCGCTGCAAATGTTATGTAATTGCGAAAGAAAAATGTGATATGAAGAATTTTTAAACGAAATTACAAAATCAGTCATTTTGATTGGTGTGAAGTTTTATAATTGGTATAAATTAAAACTTAAATAAAAAAATAATAAAAAAAGAAATGTAACATAATATGCAATTTTAACTCACAAAAAGTTAAAGTGTTGAATAATTCAAGCGTAACGTATTTTTCAATTTCTTTATATCAAAAAAAGCTCTGAACAATTGTTTTCTTTTTCCATAAAATGTGCCTCAATTTTCTTTCGTTTACTCTGCCATAATTAATTAATTTAACCGAATTTGTCGGTCGCAAAAGACCGAAGTGGTCAATGTGCTGACAAAGATATCAGGAAAATGTCATGGGAATTTATACTGGTAATATTTTCGACCGAAGTGTATATTAAGATCGTGTTAGATAGAAGAGGAACAGAGAGGGAACTAAATAGGATCGTCGGAATTACCCTGTTCGTCTCGAACAGAGTGGAGGCAAGGACGGCGTTCATCCCGCAGGATTCCCATGCAATCATGCGAAACGACCATTTATGCCGCGTTTATGAAAAATAATATCTCCGTTCTCGTAGGATCTATGTCATTTTAGCGTCGCGACGCGATCGAAGAAAGTGGCAAAGCCGAAACGAGTCACTCGTTTGTTCTTTTCTTTGAACTCGCGTTCTTCGAGCAGCGAGTCACCCGGCTTCTGCTTCACCGATGCATAATTTACAAGCTTTTGAGACAGGAAATCATGCACACCAGATAACACGTTTGTAACATCTTTTTCTACGGTTTCGATAAAGACTTTGAGTTTGAGTCTAACTTTTTGAGTTTGTGATCTATGGAGATTGTGGAACTTTGGGTTCTTTAACCTCTTAGCCTACCCTGAAATTATAAACTTTCAAGATTTCTAAATTTGGAAGATATCAAACTTACAATTCTAAATTTCTGAAATTTTAAATTTAAAAATTGTACATTTTTGTAGCATGTATTATATTTTGTACTATTCGTTAGTATTTTGTGCGATATCAGACATTTTTTACAAATACAAAATCACAAAATTATTCTATTATAGTAAAATAATTATCACTAATTAATTATTAGTAGTAAAGTATTAATAAACTCTTGATAATAAAACTACAAAAATATAACTGAATTATTTAAAAATTAATAAACTGAGCAGATATTTCTTATTTATAGAATATGCCCCTTCCTTGTTAACGATAGCGTTGGAGCGTTGAGATTGTTCGCAGGTGCTTAGCTCCCTGATGTACACCCTCTGTATATTACCGGCATTAACCAGCCTAGAGTCACCTGACGAATGCACAAGCTCGTTTACAATCGGTCTTGTTAGATTTGTGGACACGAAGATGAGCGTAGCTCGTAGGCTTAGTCTGTGCAAACGTGCAAGTCGATCTTGTAGCTGGATTTCAGGGATCAATGGGTCCTGCTAAGCCTTTCGATACAACCGAACTGCCCTAAAAGTCCTACCACAACAAGAATATAAATCTACTGCAACTCTATGTTTGTATTACTTCAACTCATCAACAATAGTCTTCCAACACATTAACGATTCTCCCCATTATCGTTATTCTCGTACTCCTAAGATCTCGAGCACTTCGCTACCACAATCAGCTGACGACTTACTCTGACCTACTAATTTGCTGCAACTTTTATCTATTGATTTGAGAATGCAGATAATCTTCCAAATCTGAATATCTTTCATTTTTTCTGCTTTAGTGTAGTACCGGGAGACGTTACCCGAGATATGTACATTACTACGTGTCAAAGATACATATCGAGAGGGCGCGAATCTCACGACATGTCAAAATACGATTGAGGAAATCAACAGTTATAGACTTTTTGAAATATACACGCTCAATTTATTTTATGATAATCTTAGAACTCTTCGAACCTTAGTATCCATAGCATAGTTACAGTAGCAATTTATAGTGGTGGTATTGATTCGAGAGTGCACATGTGATCGAATGCAAATGCGGTATTAGCGAAACTGAGAATGTGGTGCAAGTTACAGTTGTACTGCCTACCCTCTTATAACACGGTCTCTTCGTTGCGTGTTCAAGACGGGGTAAACGTTTGCTATGAATACGTGATTATATTATCTAATCTTGGTTGTTCAAGGTTATGTTCAGTTGCACTGTGTGGAAATCAGGTTTTAAGGGCATCGTGTTGGATCGTCGCAATTTTTATAATGTTATACGGATTCTGTGTTGCTGCAGTATCTTATTTATATACAAAGTGTCCAGAAAGGTTGGGACAACGTTTATAGTATGTATTATCGCGGTGAAATAGGACAAAAATTATACTATGTATTATTGTGGTGAAATAAAATAAAACTCATAATACATATTATTGTAGTGAAATAGGATGAAACTTATATTACAAATTATTTTAGAACCAAATTTATACTGCGTACTACTGTGATGGAATACATGAGATAGAACCAAATTTATACTACGTACTACTGTGATGGAATACATAACAATTAGTTGAGATAATCTAAACTATTATGTCCGAAAATGCTTTACTGAAAATATGTATATACATATGCTTTTGAAGATATTTATGATTTGTCATGACAGTTATAAAAAATGTTCGAAAATTTCTCCCTCTGCAAGAATGCAGGCATTCATTCCTCGAATTAGTGATTGCCGAATTCTTTCAAATATTCCAACTGTATCGGAAATAATAGTAAATGTATTTCGGATATATTCTCAAAACTATTGTTCTCGAGAACAATATCTGTCATTGAAATTATAATAAGTATTCGATTTTGCACAACGAATTGTAATAGAAATTTTGTGCACAAATAAGTGCTTGAAGTTTTAAAAAGTTTTTGAAGCATAATTGCAAAATCCAGCTATATGCATAAGTATAGTGAGGCACATGCCTGAAAAATATGTGACAAAATTTTGGCTTTTTGGCTTTAAATTATTATAATTATGAAGTCGTATTTTTGAAAATTTTTGGAAACCAAAAATCTACTGTCAAAACAATGTAAGATAAACAAGGACCAACAGAAAGAATCAATTTCTCATCAGAGGTTCCAAAAATCCCGCAAAAGACATGCTCGGAGTATTTCCTTGAATTTAAACCTTAATCTTAAACCTTTACTATCCTAATTGTATAGATATTTTTCCCCAGATACCCCCAGAAGAATTTCTTAATTATCAATCGTTACTTTCCAACGCCGAAATATCACTGCACTCGAGTTATTATACTTGCAATTGTTTGATTTCTCGCAAAATGATCGAGCAAATAGATAACAGTAAATTTTTGGCTAATCTTGTCAGCCTGCAACGTCACGTTAGCCTAGTGATCAAAGTTTGTTAAGCCTACTATATATCAGTGCTCTGGTGGGAAACGTTAGAATTTGACGACGTAAAGGATTAACGTGATTTGTCGATTAGAGGACGCGCAACGTCGCTCGTGTACTCGTTAACCGCGGTCACATCTCATTAATCTTTACTCATTGGTATAAACAAAAATTTCTATTGTCGCATTTTTTATGTATACGTTTAATCGTGTCACCGTAAAAACCTTAAAATGTTAAAATTGTATAATTGTAAAATCATAAATTTATCAAATTTTAGAGTTGTAAAATTGTAAAGTTGTAAAATTGTATGATTGTAAAATCATAAAATTGCAGAATTGTAAAATTATAAAATTATAATATTCTGAAATTATAAACTTATAAAATTATTAAATTATAAAATCGTAACATCATATAATCATGAAACTGTAAAAACATTAAAGTCGTAAAATCATGAAAACGTCAAAATTATAGAAATAAATCGGTGCATAATTAATGTCACGCAATAAATTTGATATTAAAAGCGTAAACAGAAGTTACATAAAATCTCTTGGCAGATATTAAAGCTGTCTAATATGTTAGCAATGTATTTGTTAGAAGAGCATTTATACATTTTTTCAATCCCAGATAGAACTTTGTTTCTTCTTTTTCACTTCAGACTACAATAATTGAATAACAAGACAATTGATTGCCACATGATAAAAATTTATAAAATTCTATTCTTTTAACACTTTTGGATGTATAATGCACTTATCTTGAAATTTGAGATAGAGAATGGTAAAACATAAAGTAATATCAATTCATTATGTGAACAAATGTATTACAGATTGTAATAAAGCTTTAATAAAGCTACTTTGTCTCAAAACAACCTTGTTATATAGTTCTATATTAAAAAAAAATATATAAAAGTGTACATTACAAGGCTTGAATCGGTTAACAATAAATCATGAACACATCAATGGTTAATCGAGGAATTTTGAAATTAGTGAACGTTAGAAAATTTAGAAATGAAAATTATATTAATCACCGCGTATATTAATTTATCGCACGTTTCATCGCGCGTTCATTTATTCTTCAATTTTACTCACAATTTCCGATGAATCAAGATAAGGAATTAACGCGTATATTTTACTTCTTGCGTATTTATTATTCAACTTCATTTACATATTCCGATAAACGAAGATAAGGATTTAATGTGTATATTAATATTATCTCTTATTTATTTATCATTCAATTTCATTTACATTTTCCGATATACCAAGAAAAGGAATTAGCGTGTATATTAATTTAATCATTCGTTTATTTATTCTTCAGCTTCGTTTATAATTTCCGAGTAAGCGTACATTAAACACGGGATAGTTACAGTGTTAAAAGCGTATACATATGATAGTTGTATCTGGGAGCAATGATAATAAAGCAAGGATAACGAAGATGGCTGGTAGGCCTACCTTGGTCGAATACAAGGCAGCGGGTGGTCTTGGCAGCGAGTCCCGGGGGCAGAGCGAACCTGTAGGCTGGGCCCAGCGACAACCCTAACCCCAGCCCGAGCGCCTCCGCGCCGCATCGGCCCCCGAACACAGGCCCCACTAAAATCACCCACATAACAATGGTCATCAGTCATCGTCATCACAAAATATATCACATTACAATATAATTATACCTTACACCTATCGCGACCAAAGTGACACAAAGTTCGAGGAGCAAACTGTTTATGAACATAATTACATATTCAATTCATATTAGATATAAACACTATTAGATACATGTAACTATTAAACTTTATGATAAACTATTAGATTGAGGAATAAGTTCATGGCGTTTTGACATTTTCTTTTTTTTACAGTGACATTTTGCAATTTGCAAGGGGCTATAATATTCATTCGATAGAGCTCTTTCTGCTCTACAAAACTGTGTTAATCGTTTTTTTCAGTAGTTTCATTTGTTATTACTATTGAGGCTCAGAAATGGAATATCCAGGAGGTAAAAATTAGCACTTTCGACACCTGCTCTTCTTCGCTTTCCATCGCGGCCAAAAAGCTGCTGAAGCAGCCCAGGATATTTGCAATGTATACGGAGAAGGTGTCATAGGTGAGT